AATGCATTGGAAGGCGGGTGTGTCCCGCCAAAAGCGGGACGTCTGGTCAACCCCACTCTCTCGGCCTTCCGTAAGTCTGTTAAGACCTGGCTGTTCTGGCAGGCCTGGGGCTGTTGATCTTGATGGAACTTCAGCCCCATTAAGATTGAGTGCATGTTGTGTCCCTCTTTTAATTCGTTTCTGTCTTGTATTTTAAACTTTTAAATTACCTTTAAACTGTTTTTATGTAAGCCGCCCGGAGTCCTTCGGGATTGGGCGGCATACAAATCTATTAAATTTGACAAATTGAAATTGAATCATCTAACTGCTGTGATTTTATATTTTTATTCTGAAATATATATTTCTTTATTAAATTTACATAAAAATGTAAGTAACAATATTTGTAGCATGTCATCAAAACACACATCTTGTTACTTGCTTTCACAGATATTCATAGTTCTTATGTATACAATCTGCAGAAAGCAGAAATAAGGATATTGAAGGAATGACTTCACATATAATGCAATAAATGCAAAACACTGGATATGGCCTGAACCAATATGACTTTAACTGAAATTAACCATGATTTTAGCTGTAGACTATAAAAACCAGTAGTATTATCCTGTCTTCTCATTTTTTATTAACAGTATCTAGTAAAAAAAACAATCACTCTAGAGAGGGCGGGGCTGACGTTGCAACAACACGACATACAATCTTGGAGAGCCAGGATTGCTGTCGATATCTCTTCTGCTGGACAGTCCTTTTGGACCTAAACCGTCCCGTAGAGACAGGGATAGAGAAGGGCACGCCCTGCTGATCTCAAAGTCCCTGATTGATGCAGGAGAAGCTCTTATTTCCGGCGAAAGAGAAGCAGCCATTGACGCTGCAGAAGGTTGGGACAGCCTCTGAACAGAAGGGAAGCAGGAGAGAGAGGGTGTTGAAATGGTGAGATAAATTTTACTATTAGAGAAGAGAACACCCAAAAAGACTTAGAGTAAAATTAAAATTGAAGACAGAAGAGAGCAAGCAGCAAATTAAACTTAGTGTGTTATCTTTTTTCAATTTTGCTTTTTTAAAAATGGATGGAACTTTTACAAATGCCTCTTACTTTTTAAATTGGACTGGTTTCTTTTTTCTCTCTTCCATTTTTCCTCTTTTTTTATATTTTTGGAATATGATTTTCTTTCTTTTCATTTTACAATGCTCAGCTGGATTGTTTACTTTTAAGCACTTTTTTCCCCTTAAGTTTGGAATTTAAAGAGAGGGGTAGAGATTTCTTTCCTTCCTTTATGGATAGATCAAGCCCAAATGTATGATAAATCTACTTCTCTAAGATTTATTCATTATTTAATTCTAACCATATCATAATATTATGCAACATTACCTATGATGTTTGCCTGTGGTAATACCTGGTCACAAGGAATAGCACTATAGTATAATTAAGGTAATTATACTATAGTTCTCAATATATGCATTAAATGTATGACAGATTAAAAAAATACAATTAAGGCCTAAATTGACATAGCATCTTAACATTATATATAAGATTGGGAAAAATCATATCCTTCTCTCTTCTTTGCTGGGCTTACCTATACAGTAAGGACAACATTGCCCTTTCCTCAAAACAGGTTTTTCACAGGATACTGGTGGGCAAGATTCAGAGTAACAGCTGATTCCACCATCCAAGCAAATACAACTGGTACAAACATTTGGTTTCCATGACTCAGCGGTTAAGAAGATATCACCGTCATCATTTTTGCAGTAACTGGGCATGCTTTTATTGGTTGACAAGGAAGGCTGAACAGGCTCATCTAAAAAAAAATACACAAAGAGGATAGGAATGATAGGAAGAGGCACAGATATACTTTTTATTTTACATATACATATTTAAATATATATGTAGATCAGTAGTGGATTCCGGAACCCGTTGCAACTGGTACAGTGCAATGGGGCCCAACGTCTACCACATGAATGCGTGCAGTGCATGCATGCATCCTTACCTTCTGCGACACCTCTGTGATTCTCCAGCTGCTCGGTGAGGTGTTGCACAGGCACCGTACGCTCCGTGCGTTTTTACGGAAGCACCAAAGAGCTCAAATAATGGTAAAGTGGGTGGGCAGGCCCTCCGGAGCACCATACCAGAACGGTACCCAGTGCTCCCGGCAGGCACTGGTATGCCTGTACCGGGGCGTACTGCCTGCAACCCACCACTGATGTAGATGTACTGAAGAGGAATTGGAAATACTTCCCACTATAATATTGGAACACTTGGTTGTGCAAGGTTTTTGAATACATAGAATGCTGTTAAGAAGTGGAGCTCTATTTTTAATTCCCTGCTGTGCTTACAATTCTGTAATTCCTGAATTGGCCTATTCTTCATGAAAGCACCGAAGCACTTTGAGCAATGTAACTTGGCAGCTAGCAACATCCTTCAGAATATAATTTTTCATGAAAGGTTTCTGCTGAATGGTCTTTTCTCCAGAACAAGTGGAGACCAAGTGATTCCTGGATGTTGACAAATCATATTTGGAAAAGGCAATCTAGTACCAAGAGAACTTATATATCTAGGAAAAATATTCTATTTATTTAGAAATATTCTAAATATTTCTATTTATTTATGCCTGCTTATCAGAAAATGATGCTTTAGATATTTTTCCTTGCGTGCAAAAGGAGCAGGAAAGGACAAAACTATACTTTTGGCTTGTTTTATCAATAGCTGTGAGCTTCATCTCACTTTTCCAAAAGAAAGAGAGGAAAAAAAGCAATTGCAGCCTCTATGATTTTGGCCCTGCCTACAACTTTTGTCTCACCTTCCTGTAGGCTCATACACCCCTGGGCAGGAGATAACAAGCAGCCATACCTGCTTAAACAACTCCCAGTTCACTTTTATGAACATATACACACCCCTACTTTGTAATAACACTGTTTTAAAAAATGGTGGGCAGACTCCTATGTATTACTAAACAGGAAAGAACAGTCTGTAACACTGAATAATAACAGCTTCTTTTAACTAGAATTGCTGAAGATTGACTGGTGAATTTAACAACAAACCATTGTCATGGCATAGAGGCTGATGAGCTGCTTTTGTATTTGTTTAAAGTCTGTTTGTAGAAGGAAAGTCTCAAGGCTATTGATGGGAGTTTTCATTCCTAATGGTTTTGTGTTCTCTAAGACTTTAAGAGTAAAGGACCACACCTGTACCGAGATAAAAGAGAACCGCTGCTACACAGGTGTGGGTAGTGATGGTGGTGGAAAGAGAAAGAAAAGGAAATGCTACTTCAGCTAACAGCAGAACCTCCTGAAGTAGAAGGCTGGTATAAACTAAGAACTGTGTTACTACTGCATTTATGACAAGGAAAAATGAACAGTTGTAAACACAAGGTAGAAAGGGAAACTTACCACCTTGGTAAGTACTGTCATCTGTCACTTATAAATATCTCCTTAAGCAAAGTGGAGTAAAGAAGTTGTACATATTAGACTTAACATATTAGAATTGTATATTTTATGTAATAATAATCCTACCTTGTTTAAATGCTCAAGGAAAAACATTCAGTCTTCTGATCCATGTTTGATACATGAAATATTTTATTAACTTCGATGAAACTACCTTTATAAAAACTGATTCTTCATTGCCATGCATATGTAAGAAAAGGAGCTAATGCTCTTAAGAACTGCTGGAAATGCACAATTTATTATTAGTCTTAGATTTTTATCCTGCCTTTTATATGATTTGGCCAACTCAAGGCAGTGAACATACTTGATGCTCTGCCTCTTATATTCTTCACAACAACCCTGTGACGTAGGTTGGGCTGAAAGAGTGACTGGCCCCCAAATCACCCAGCCGGCTCTTAGGCTTAAAGGAGCTCTAAAACTCACAGCTTCCTAGTTGTAGGCCAGCATCTTAACCACATTAAACTGCCTCTTAACTGCAAACTGATCTGACAGAAAAGAGAAAGGCGGACAGTGGATTCTTTCTGTGGAATGTATATGAAAGAGGCAGATGGAATATGTTTGCGTTTTAATCCAAAACGTGAAATATACATAATTAGGATTAATAGAACTTGTGTAATGAAACACAGGTTAAGAACTAGAAGGTTTGAGGGGATGATATTATATAACAGACATGTCTAAGTTCAGAAGAGTGGGGTTATATTTGGAAGCTGAATTCTGTCTTTATGTTAGATACACTAGTGCCCAAGAATTTACACAGGAGTAATGAAGGATTTCATCATGTTGTTGCTGGACTGTGGATGTTCTAAAGCCTTTTTTCAAATACTATTGCTGATATTTATTTTTGAGATGTAATGACATAGGGCAAATTAAACTGTTTTAACAAATATGCTAAAATATATTATATGAAGCTAACCTGGACACTGGGGACAACATGAGTCCTGAGTACGTGTAGGATTTCGACAAAGTAGAGGGGGACAGACTTCAGTTTCACATAAGACTCTTGCATTATGACATGTACACTGGGTACAAGAATCAATGTTCCATGTGTCTCCTTCCATAAAATACTCTCCTCCTGGAACATAACAGATGGTTGGACCACTGATTTCTGGCTTCTGTGCAATGGATTCATCTGTGAAAAACAGAATCCCCCGCAAAGAACTTGAAAATTGACTTTTCATTAAAATATAGATTCAAATCATAGTAATAGTTTCTAAATCTATTGTAAATGACTACATTTATAAACTAACACATTTTAAAACATCTTGGTTTGTACCACTATAACAAACAAGTCATAGGTTTAATACAGTGCTATGATAATAAAGGCAGATTTTATTTTCAGGATTACCCACTGAACGCTGTAAGTGACAGCAAGGTATTTGGGGATGGAGTAAAGACCAGTTCAGAAATTTCAAATAGATATAATTTCATAAACTGATTACTAGTAACTATATTGTGATATTTCTGTGACCCATAGAAGGTATGGTACTTCTGTTCATGTGTTTGAGATACAAATCCAACAAATAAAAAAACATCTAGCAAACCAAAACTGGATTCTTGCCTGCTTATAAATGCAAAGAGGGCAATTAAAACTAGACCTATCATACAATTTCCACATATTTTAAGGATTTTTTCTCACTTATCTTAATACAAGGTCCCCAACCTTTCTGACTTAGCAACCCAATGGGAGAGCAGAGCAGATGGTTCCATGAAAGTATTAGTAGACCATGACCCAGTGATTGGGGACCCCTGGTTTGATATGTGGCTATAGGAACGTAATGGAAGTTACACATAATGGAAGTAATAAATATCTATATATATTATACAAAGATATGGATTATCCACAAAGTTCAGTTTTATTCCTGATTCACTGATTTCAAACTGATTCTGACCTGCAGTTCAAATCTGATTTAAAAAAATCTGATCTTTGCCCATTTCTTCCAGTTTGAATAACTAGATGGAATGGCTACAGGAATAACCGTACTTTACTTTTCTCTCTGTTTTTTGGCAATCAAAACAGCCTAAATATTTAAGAATATTTAGCCCTTCTTTGGACTTCCAAGATTGCATTCTCTTCATTCAATTTAAATTACTAACAATGTGTATGGAAACTAAAATATTTCTTTCTTTGAAAGCTAAAATTATTATGTTTAGGATGTATAGGATTAGTGCCAAGTGTTAGTTTATAAAGTCTATGCAATTACATGGAAGCAATGCAGGTTTCAACTGGTTTATCTAGCAAGTATCTCAGTCTTTTTTACTTATAAGATCTTCCCTGGCAAGACAAAAAAGGGCAATAGAGTTAAGAAGCAGGGTTTTTAAAAAATATAAAATGGGTACCTGGACATGATGGACAACATTGTCCTGGGTGTATTGTTGGATTGCCACAGTTGGGAACAGAACAAGTAATCAAAGCACACATCTCCCGTCCATTATGACAATAACAATCACGGCAGCCATCATGCCAACTTTCTTCATTCTCATGACGGTGCCCATCTATTGATAAGCAAGTCCCTACCTTAGCAGGTGGTATTATGGAAGCTGGTATCTCTGTACATGATAAAAGTAATGTCTTAAAATAATTGTTTTTAACAATTACAATTATTTATAGTTATTCTTTATATTAACACTATAGTCAAACTTTGAACACTATCATGGAGAACACAGATTTTTAGTGAGGACAGCATACAAATTTGAAAAATCAACTGAAATAAGACCTAGACAGACATGAAATCATGAAAAAAATAACAAAACACCTGAAACAGAAAGCAGAAAGTGCTTCTTTCCACAATTCATAGCAAGGAAAACTGAAAAAAATGGAAAGCAAAACAACAACAATAACAACAACAATGAAATAATCTTTCTAATGATGAAACACTTGAAAATAAGTTTTGAAAATAAACTCAAAATATATGAGAATTATTTTGTAAAAGACTGTCTATAGCACTAAGAAATTATTAACTTGCATATTACAGATATATTAAAACAGTCATGAATTTCTACAGAGAAGTGCCAGCATCCTTCTACTTCTAACTTAATATCTACTTGTCAAATATCAAAGCTTTAAGTACCAGAGTATGCAATTGTTTCTTTCTCTTATTATGGGGAAGACTTGTAATCTTTCACAAACTTAAGGCATTTATATTTTTGAGAGTGTAGACCTATACAAACGTATATGGAAGTAGACAGCACTAACATTAAAAGGAAGTGTATTCTAGTGTAGTAAAATCATTGTTTATTTTTTAATTATTTAACATATACATTACAACATACAAATAAGTAAAATGCACTGTAAAACAAAGTGCTAGCCTTTATTTACAAGAATCCCCTTAGACCCATGGAATTATAAGCATTATTAAAAACTAACAATACTTGGTAGTTTTAGTTTAGCGCTTGTTTGAAAGTATGCCAGCTGTCCTGCCAAAGAAAGTTGAAGCTGTTGAGCCAGGGTTTTTTAATATATTGCTTTGTGACTGGCCACATACCTTCATGTAAGCCATTGGGAGAATGCTTAAAAGATATTAAATATTCCAAATGCATCCACCAGTCTCCAATATTCAAAACTTCCAATATTTTCAATAATATTCCAAGTAATTGAATAGATTGTTGAGCATAGATTAGAACTGGTTACAAATCACACTATTTTAATTGTGTTTAGAATGTAAAAATATATATCTGAAATAGTTGCACATACCAGCACATTTGCAGATATTACATCCTTGGTTATTTTTCTGAAAGCCCATTGGACAGATCTTCCCACATGAAAGCTCTGGGCATTTCTTACAACGACAGATTTCACATCCGTGTTTGTTCTTGCTAGATAATGAAGATTATTTATATTATTTTTCACAAATAATCATATTTTGTTCTGGAATTATTTGAAAATAAATGTAAGTTAGATAACCTGATTAAAACAAAAACCTAGGCCTTATTTTCAATTCATACTTCTGGAGGCAATATCTATCTAACATATATTTATCATCAAATTAAATAATAGTTCTTTGGACAGAATGCTGCAACACAAATAGAAATCTAAAAGTACAATTGCTCTATTATCAACCTGAACCTATTCAATTTAATCAGAAGCAACCTTAATATGTTTGAATGCTTAATTTTAATTATAATGAATTAATGCAGTGGTGAGCAAATGATGAACAGAAGGAGAGCATTTATTGCAGAAAGCTTGATATGTAGCTCTTCACTACAAGTAATGAATATTCCCATTTTCGAATTAAAGTATAATGAGAAGCTTTTTTTTTTAAAAAAGCCTGCAGATTCCCCTATACCTATTCTTTACGTACAAATTACCATATATCTTTATACTGACCTTCCAATATGAATTACAGCTACTTATTAATCAACTATAACATTAAAATGCAATATAACACAACATCCCAATTAAAATGCAGACTTTAAATTAAGACGCTCAGACAAAAAAAGGCCTATAATTATAGACTATTAGAGGTTCAAACAAAATAAATCTCTCTCCCTCCAGGTTTCTTCTCTCCTAGGTCAGGTGATACTTTGAACATTTCTGAGTTCAATTGCCAACCTAAACTTCCCTATACATATTAGCTTTTTTACCAGGCTAAACAACAATGAAAAAACCATAGGAAGAAATTAATTGTTAGACTCTGGGTATAATCACACTGGGGAGTTCTCACTTTATATTAAAGGTGGCAGCAAATCATGAGAAACAAGACATTCTAGATTCAACCCCAGCACCTCACTTTTAACAATTGTGGCTTCTTAACAACTGTTGAAAAAAGGTCATAAAACTGGTTCTGGTCATATGATGACCTGCTTTACAACTGTGATCACTTACAATCAAAATTGTGTGGTTAATTATAGTAGAAATGCAAGGACTACCTCTATTTATTACAGAATAGTATGGACTTCTTTTATTCTCTAATAATTTGATTATCCTTCTGAGTAAATAATAGACTATAAGAGTTAGAAGGGACCTCAAATGAGAAAGATTTAGAAATTCCTAGGAGATCTCTCTCTCTCTCTCTCTCACACACACACACACACACACACACACACACACCCCTTTGTTGGCTGACTGATGGTTTAGTTGTATTGGTGTTTAGACTATTATTTTGAGGAGAAACTTCCTATCTTTACCAGTGTCTTCAGGAAAAAGCGTTAGGGTTAGGATTAGAGTAAGAGTCAAGTTTCAAACCAACTTTATTAAGTGAAAAGAGCAATCTGAAGGATCCTTGAATGCTCTCTTAAGACTTCCTGGACAGTATGTTTACATTAAAAACACCATGATTAAAGAATTATTAATGTTTAATAGTTTTAATGGATAGTTAATGTTTTTAAACAATAAATACAATCTCCATAAGTTATAGATAAGTGATTTTCCGGAATAAGTGGTAACTTCTCTTGTTTTATTTGCCAATAGATAGTAATTGTTGTTATTGCATACTTTCAGTTTTTATACTGAAACAGCTACAATTTCTCCTCTTCAGTGCTAGGCAATAATCACAATAGAAAGGGGTCTCATTCTTCAAATCACTCAAACTGTTTGTAAGGGGTTAGTTTTTTATAAATTTTTACTGGGAAACAGTAATTTAAAAAGGGATAAAGTCCAATGTTGCCGCTCCACATCAGATATTTTATTTCTGAAATTTAAGTCAAAAGAAAATGTGATTATATATTTCCTGTTTTACCTACTTGTATGTTCCTATACTTACAAGCAAACATTGCTAGACATGGGTTTCCTTTTCTGACTGTTAAGGGCTGTGCTGTAAATTTCTGCCACTACTACTTCAAACTAGATGTGGAAAAAAAATCACTAATGCTATACCAAAATTTATATTTCAGATGTGATTTATATATTTGTCCCTTGAACTTGGGTCAAGTACAATTCTGTTCAATAAGGAATAGGTTTTATTATATAGTCTTTGGGTTATAATGGTAATTGTAACCAGAACTGCCATTGTTAAGCAATGCGGTCATAAAGCACAATGTCATGTGACCATGTTTTTTTAGCAACAGCATTTTACCATTGTTAAGGTACCACAGTTAAGTTTGAATCGTATGTTGTTAAGTGAGGACCTTGTGTGACTATGACTTCTGACTTCCTATTGAAGACTTCCCCATTGACCATGCCTGTGAGAAGTTGTTAGGGAATGTTGGAAATTGTGATTAAATGTCCATAGATTACATTGTCGTGAGCTGGGCATATCTGAGACCAGGTGTACTGAAGGAAATCTTCTGGTTTTTATCTGCATTACAAGGCATTGTTCAATTGTTATATTTATTTTAACTGTCTATTTAGGGGAGTTATAGGCTGCTCAAAGTCTGTTGTTTGCAAAGCTTATAAGCCTTGTGAATAAATAAATTCCTTATCTGGATTTCCGGAACTCAAAAGAGTTTGGGAAACATAGCAACAAATACAAACTATAAGCAATTTAAATAATATCCACCCTACATGCAATAGTAGACATTACTGTTATTACTAGTATACTAATAACTGATCTCAGGTACTATACAGAAACAATGTCCTACAATCTTGGTCAGGCTACAGTTCTCTATATTTTATTTTCTCTCATCAATAATTTCCTTCAGCTTTTATTTAAACTTTCAGCTGCAACTGTTGCTTTATCCACTAGATGGGGTACCAGTATAGAATCTGACTCTAAGAAAAAATATGTTCATGTTCAATCTTGCCTTGGTTGTCTGAACATTTTCTTAAAAGTAATAAGTAGTTAGGTCCTATAATTAATGGAACAGTAAGGAATGAGCCTTTACTTTTACATGGAATACTAGTCTACAACTCTGATGTCACCCTTAACATTGCTTATATTTTTCATTTCTGGAGGAATCATTGTCATCTCTTTTATTCTTTATCTTGCCTAAATTTGGATAAATAAATAGGGCAGAACTATTGCCAAGACCCATCAGGTCCCCCCAGCAATTAGCCATTCTTCTTTATCTCCACAGGACCAACATGTTTGCCAAGAGCAACTATAACTGTATTGCTCAGCTTTAGAAATGTTAGGCCAAAAAGCTCAAATAGTTGAGGGTTCAATTGATAGAGCAGCATTAGAAAGTATAAAAAAGAACTACTGGTTATGAAAATATGAGAAACTATATTTCTGAGACTGTGGCTTATGATTTCTATAGGAGAGATTGCTGTTGTGAGAGATATCACATCAGGATATCTCACAGGAATGGGAAAATATATTTGAAAAATGGTACGCTTGATTTAACTTTAAAGCCAAATATTGTGAGGCCTGACAAAAGAAAATCCAGATGTAAGATCTTTAGATAGGAATTTTAAGCATCAAGAGGAATGGGGTCTGTTTTATTAATATGAGGATGGATATTGGGTCATAAATTTGCTATTTACATACCAATATGCAGAGCACAGGAAACAAGCTAGATGAAGTTAAAGACTTAATACAGGAAGGCAGATATAACAAAAGATTTGGTGGACTGAATCTCATGACTGATTTGTTCCATGCTAACAGGAGCAATAGAAAAAAAAAGAGATAACCTCTGTGATAAAATATTTATAGCTGCTCAGAAATTCAAAAAGATGAACTTGGCGTCACTGTTAAGAGTAACTGGATTACAAAGTGTGAGAACAAATGAAAAGTAGCATAGTTGTGGGTGTATGTTTTGGAGGAAAAAGTGGTTGGAGGTGACCTGCGATAATAGGAGGAGTAAACGAAGAGCCTGAGGCTCAGCATGACCCAACTCAGAGAAGTCAAACAAGTGAGACCTGAACTGTGAACAGCTGAAGTGAGAACTGGTCTAGATATGAGGTATCTCTTTCACATGTGTGTATACTGTATATGTGAAAGAGAAACTTTCAGGCCCCAATTCTACCTCACTAGTAACGAAGCATTTTATGAGGGTAGCCATTGTGATTCCTAAAATTCCAAGTATGTTTTCTCTAAAAAAAATCTGACCAACTCCCCCCCAAAAAGATGAGGTCTAGCTCAGTCTTCAGCTGATTCAGTGCTTTGTGCTTTTAAAAAAGGGCATAGTTCACTGATGAAATAAACAGAAATATAACAGTGAATACACAGGTAGTACTGGGGAATATTTTAATAACTTCTAAGGCATTGGGGAGTGGCAAAATTGGCATGTTACTCTAAAAATACTTAAGCAGGGTAGTTTAAACCATCAAAAATGAAGGTCACATATTTGGATGCAGAAAGTGAGGAAACTTGATATTCTGTTACACCCCTGGATCAGTAATTCATGGAATACCGTACAGGTAGTCCTTGTCTTACATCAGGTCATTTAGTGACCATTTGAAATTATGACAGAGACTGCAACAGGTAGTTATGACCCAGATCCAAACATGTCTGTTGCAGCATACTCCTATGCTCATTCATTTTTACGACCAACCACGGAGAAGCTGCAGTGTGCCCCCCTACCTATTCCTCCCCTCCCATCCTGCCACACCAAGTCCCCACAGGGGCTGCTTTGCTACAAGACCAGATTCCACACTCCCCACCCCATCCCAGTCATCATTTGCTCATCTATCTTTCAAAGATATCCAGAGCTCAGGAAGTTGGTGTAGGGAAGGAGGACAGGCTGCTTCATTATTGGGTCATATGGGGTAATGGGGGAGAAGAAATCCTGTCAGTTTTTCTTTCCTCACCAGACTCTTACCTTTATGCTAGTGCAGCTTAACATTGGGGAAGTTATGACTGTCTAGTGTGGAAAGAAAAACCAGCAGGACTTCTTCTCACTAGCACAGCTAGCACTGGGGAAGCTAAGGCTAGTGTTAGCAATGAGAAAAAAGCCTGCTCCCCCAGCATTAGCTATGTTAGCTTTATGCTAGCACAGCTAATACTGGGGGAGCTAAAGCTGTCTAGAAATCAATGTTTTAATAAGATTATCATATATGCTATCCTCAGCATACATTCTATGTATGGCCACTCTTCAAAACCAACCCTACAAAGGAAACCTTACATAATTAAATAACCAAACCTATTATAACTAATGCATATGTTACCATGGCAAGATCTTATGTTTCCAAGAACAGAGGCATTAGACAGCTGAGCAAACATAAACCTGGCCAACTTAGTATCCAGGAGCAAAGTCAGATCATAGTTGACGTTATAACACTGAAGACAAGCTAAATTCTTATTTCTAGGTCAGCAATACTACTGGAGAAGAACCCTCTACCTTATCTGGATTAAATTTTGATTTTTCAGCCTTTATTTAGACTATTAATATTCCTAGAGAAGAAAGTAAAACAGTTGTAGAGCATTGCAGGCCAAAACAACTAGAGTTTTTTCCTTGTGCCATTACTCTGCTGAAAACCTGATTATATTACCTTGTTGTTTGCATGTACACTGACAGTTATGCACTGGAGACACATTCCTTGTGTGTCCAATCACACATGGTCTATAAAATATTCTATTCTAAAAAGGATATCAGTTATGCTTAGTTAAAGAAGAAGTTTTTAAATTTAGCTGCTTCAGATAAATCATTTTGTATGATCTGGATTTTAATAATTGTTAAAAAGTGTTAATTCTAGTTAAAGAAAAGGAGAGAAATATCCTTTGAGAAGGATCATGGCAAAAAATATTTAATATCAAGAGTTTCATGTAAAATATGGTGGATGCATTGTTGGAACACTTTAAATGTTCATATATTTCAAGGGTAGAAAATAGAAAACAAAACTTCAACTGCATTAGAAGAAACTGCATAACTGCATTAATCAGCTGCACTGAGAGAGAAATGTTAATACACCCAGTCTTCTACGAACTCCACAGCAATGGGGGAATAAACCCCCCACCAATGTTTGGAACATTGTGTAGAGTACTGGCAACTGTACCTTAGGGTGGAATTGTACAAAATGAAAAGACACAAAAAATGACAACCATGGAGCCCTTTTGTAATTATGGCTGGTGAGCTTAGAATTAAAGAGGCAAATGTGAGATACAATAGAGGTATCATGAATGGCACAGATAATATGGAGAGAAAATAAAGTTAGAACCAGAGGAGTCTAATCAATTAAAGTTAAATGCACGTAGAGTCACTCAGACTTAGTTAAACGTATAGAAACTATGCCAGTAGCTGTGATAATAGCAGTCAATTTGGATGGTTTTATACAGGATCTCAACAAATTCATGAAACAGCAAGCTTCATAACTAAAATGTATGGTTGACCCTGCCTTCTGGATCATAGCATGCCTTAAATACTGGCTGCTGGGAAAGAGGCTAATAATACCTTCCCCCCACCCCCAATCCAGACTTGTGAGTTTCCAAATGAATCTAATTTGCAAATACATCTAATCTAAGGATAACTATTGGTGGAACAACTCTGAGGACTTGTGGACCCCGCTGTCTCCAAAACCACATTCACCAATTTTAATTAATAATTACACTAAATGTAAATCTCCTTGGGCCCATTTGGAATATTTGTATATGACATCTTTAGCTAACTGAACTGTGTGGAATTACAAATATAAATAGTTTTTATATATTTCCTGTTGCAATCATATTGACCCAAAAACTGTGGTTATTATTTCTGGTATGTTCATTTTTTTCCTCATACTAAATTGAAGCTGTAGAGAAAACTGGATCACAAAATTGATAAAACACTTATGTTATTAGAAGTGACCTTTAAACCTTTAAGACAAAAAAGCTTACAATCAATCCTTATAATCATATTATCAATTTAATATAAAAACTGTAAAGACTGACTGAAATAGGGAATTAGAGACCTCCATTTTGCCTAAACAATGAGAAAACATTTTAACCTTAATACCAAAACATCACTGGATCTTAGATGACTGCTTATACAACTAAAAAAAGAGTTTGGACTTGCCCCATTGCATTTGTACGGAGAAGAGTAAATAAATTACTAGATTACTGAGGATGAAACCATAATACTACTTCATTATACAGTATTCATTATAGGATGTATATTCATGATAAGCTCTTTTATATAAATTTTATGTTGTAACTGCATCTTATTCCCTATTTTCCTTTTTTGACTATTTTTAATGTTTCATTTTTCCCACTTTGTTCTGCTTTATTAAATAAATGAAGCAAAATAAATCTCATTGAAACTCTATACTTCTTCATTCAAAACTATTTAAGATTTACCTTAATAAAGTTAAAATATTTTTAGCTAATAGTATTTTTGTGTCCTTATATAGTTCCTGCCTTCAACATGAAACAGGAATAGTTACTAGGCTTTGCTTTACACAATGTTAAAGGCATACAAAACTGTGGTAAATATGCTTTTAAAATAATAATACTTACAAGTATCCAAAGGGACAGTACTTGTCACATACTATGGGTTTGCATTTCTTAGGCCGTGGGTGGCACTGACAGATCTTACAGTTATGGACATCTGTTTGGAAACCAAAGTCACAGTCCAAGGAACAATCTGACATGAGATTGGTACACCGCTCCTCCCCTGTGAAAGAACAAAGAAAGTTTAGTATAAAGAGACAACGATTATTTGTCTCAACAACTAAAGGCATATGGATACAGAATTCTCATCTTCCCCAGTCACCTACAATGGTAGGATTTCTACTATATTGTCTGATTATCTAAATTCCAGATTTTAAATATTCTCAAAGTGACTTATAATATAAAATATTCCATTATTCCATATCAACATAACATTTTCATGAAATGATACATCTATTTTAAGTAAATTTATGGACAAGGCAGTTAGGGTAATAAAATACATTAATGGGTTTTATTATCATATTGCCTTGCCCTTGTGCTTTTTCTTGATCATTCTTCTTTTCATTCAAAAGAAAGCTAAGGAATAAAAGGAAATAAACTTCTTAGTATTTGATACTAATGACTGGAAATTAACTTGTTAATTAGAAAGCTGACCACTACAATATTTTAAGGTAGCTCTATACTTTACCTGGTGCTGTCTAAGAAATCAAATGTTTTCAGTGTCTCATCTTTAAGGAGCTGAAAACTGCAAGTTACAGCTCTTGTATGTAAAGTTATTTACATGTCAATAATATAAACAATAATGTTTTATTATAGTTTAAATGTTCCTATGACAGCACTTTTAAAAAAACTTTATGTTTATGTAAAACAAAAGAGCGAAGTAGTCATATTCCTCAATGTTATAAAAAGATAAACAATAACCTTCAATTATCAGAATAAAGGCCTGCATTGAGGATAGGCAAAAGGGGCCTGGAAGATGAGAGCCCAAAGGACAGAATTTTGAAACCATCTGGAAGCTCATACACGGGGCATTAGATAAGCAGTATAGAACTTTTTCTTCCCTGCAAAACTCAAAATGGACTAACTGATAGTAAAATGCAGCAGAATTGCATTAGTAGTAATCAGTATTCCTTCAAGCCTGAGGCCTGAAAGTGACAATCTTTCAAAAGCTCTCTTGGGTTTGAAAAGTGTCAGCTATAATTACATGTTAAAGTCTTCCACAATAACGTTGGCTATTATGATAGTATTGCGTTTGGTTTTTTTCTTCAAATGATCCAATGTGTTTTATAGCTTTTGTTCCAATATGTAAAACTGCTACGACAAATCGCCTGTACTTCTTCAAGCATTTAAGAAGAATAATCTATGCTATAAACAGCTTGATTAGCCTATGTAACAGGGATAAGAAAATGTTTTGGATAGTAGACACCATCATGTTGATACTGATGCAAAATGAAAAACAGGATTTTAAAAAATACCTAAATAATAATGTTATACAATCCTAACAGAATTTGAGTTTTCAAATTTATTGATTAATAGCAGTTTTAATAGGCGGTAATAATGTTTTTTTTATCAATATGCCATTGGTGCAGTAGCTGAACTGCTTTGCATCAACACATCAAAACTTAAAAAATAACCTATATTTTTATATATGATTTAACAAAGAGGCACTCCATCTACTGAAAATAATAAAGGTATTCTGATGTTCTTGTTGCCCTACTGAAGCATGGCAAAATTGATATTTGGAAATGTTTTATTTTACAAAATGAAAAACAGGATTTTCCAATTAAAAAGACCAGTATTTTGCATGAGCCAACTGAATTTTGAGGAAAAACATCAATATGAAATTTAAGAATATTTTTTTTCAAACAAGATAACTGAACATAGTATTTGAACTTACTAGTTTTACACTGGCAAATGTGACAACCATTTTGATCCACTTTGAAGTCATAAATGCAGTCTGTCTCTTTTAGCGTACAGTTCACCAGAGGAGGACATGTAGGTGGACCTATTGTGATGTAGGTTGGCTCTAATGAAAAAGCGAACATATGGTTATAAATTACCAATGTTTGATACAGTGTATCATATTAAATTCTAAAAGTCACTAGTGGAAATGTGGGAGGGAGGCTAAGAAATGTGAAATATAAACAAGCAAAAAACAAACAAATGGCTTTGATATATAGACAATTCCTGTAAAAGCCTGAAACCATAATTCAAACTCAGATGTAGTTATCATAGGGGTTCTTTAAAACCATTGCTAATAATGGGAGACACAAGTTTTATGACTAAAGCTCTTTGCCAAAAAATGGCTGGCTTAACCAATTATGATAGTTCCTATCAAAATTGGACCAGTGCAATAGATTGTAAGAGAAGCTGCTTTGGAAAGTGGCTCAGAAGTTGCAATTAATGTATTGGTAAAGTTGCTAATAGGGTTTAAAATGCTAGGAACATGTTATGCCTGTAGGCTGATTAACAGTCTACTTCCAAATCAATTTACATGTTCATGTTCATTAATATAAGCCCAACAGTGTTTAGGATTGAGACAGCTAAGAAATGCCCTTTACTTAAGCAGCAGTGTGGACATACTAAACTTACTTGTTTATCCATTTTTAAAATTTTGGTAAAGTTAGTTTTAGTTTGTTGTAAACTTTTAAGCTGCTACTATTGGTAGCTATATAAAGCTGTATTTTTTAAAACTTGAGTTACCTTTGCCCTTGTATTAGAATTATTTTTAATGAGTAGTATTTTTAAACAAACAAATTGTGTTATAAATTGCATTCCAGTATTCAAGTAACAGATTTATGAAATAAAGAGAATGCTTTATGTGCTAATTACAACCTAGAGGTAATTAAAATCCTTAAGAGTTTCTTAAAGAAAGGAACAGTGCAAGTTATTCATGAATAAAATCTCACTGACCCGATCAATGCTGAAAATTAAAGCTTTTGAATTAAATTAAATCTAACAAGAAGCTTTTTCAAACTGAAGTTAGAAAAGGAAGTGTATTAATAAAATCATTATCAATTAGACAAACTCTTCAATTTTGCTTCAGCATTCTTCTAATTATTGCAATAAATTATAGGAACAGTTTAACAATAAATATTTTTAATGAAGGCAAAAATTTTTTTTGTCCAATTGCTCAAAATTGCTTAGCATTGATGATTTATTGAACTCAGAAATGAAACAATTTAAAAGTTTGCAATCATATAAATAACCCGCATCTGGATATGTGATTATCTGCCATCTAGTCAGTGTTGATTCTCAGAAGGATAGATAGGTCTTCACTAGAATAATTTGTTCCTATCCTGGCACTTTAGATCTTAATGCACCCATTAACCAGTGAAATTAAGTCTCTCCACCGTGCTGGCAATCATCTTTTTCTCTTATCCTTTCTATAATTATGGACTCTTCAACAGAGCTGCATCTTTGCACAATGTGCCCACAGTATGATAACCTGTGCCTGGTCATTTGTGCCCTGTGAGAATTCTGATTGATTTGTTCTATAATTCATTTGTTTTCTTAGGTACCCATAATATTATGAAGAATCTTCTCCAATACCACAGTTCAAAAGCTTCAATACTCTGTCCAATTTCTTTAAAGTTAACCCTTTCTTCTAATGGTGTCATAAGGAAGACCATTGGGTGCATGGTTCCCATACATACACTGTTGCTTTGCAATATATTTTCCAAAACCTTCATAGTTACTTACTAGTGTTAACCATGGTATACCGTATTTTTCGGAGTATAAGATGCTCCGAAGTATAAGACCCACCTAGCTTTTAGAGAGAAAAATATGAAAAAAAATCTGCCTCTATTTCCCAGTAATTTGTCTCCTTGCAGCAAGCAGCAAACAGCCTGTTTCAATTTCAGCACAGCCTGATTAGCACAAGCAGCTGATTATTGGTTGGATCGGCCTCCCAACATCAGCTGTTTCAGGCTGCAGGGATTGCCATAGTCTATTGCTGTCTCTGTGTGTCTCATTTTCAGTGTCTGCATCCCATTTTCAGCCTCTATACGCCCCATTTTTGGCCTCCACACATCCCATTTTACGCCCATTCCGGGTGGCGGGGATCAGAATGGGCGGAAAATGGGATGCAGAGGCTGAAAATGAGGTGCACGGAGGTGGCAATAGGCAATGGCAATCCCTGCAACCCGAAACAGCTGATGGGCGGGAGGCCATCCAATATCTAAAACTAGCAATATTGTCTATTCTTAATATATGTTGTGGATAATGTGTAAATCCTAATCATATTACAATGCTCAGTAAACACCTTTGGTAGAATCTTTGAATTGTGAACATCATTGAAGGATATTATAACAATCTAACATGAAGCTATTAAAACATGTTATCGTTGTCCATGAAAGGCTGTAGATTGTAAATCAACCTGAGCTGAGACATTTTCAGTCACTGTAGCCCCCAAATCCCTGGCTCTGCACTATTCTGATGCAAACATTATTTATAAATATTAGTATTTTCTTTGTTGCTTGGTATTATTATTCTGTTATTAATGCCACATCAACTATCTCACTTTGGAATGAACGGGTAGAGTTAGATGTCATCTTTATCCAAACACTGGGTAGCTCCACACAACAGTTTTTAACACTCATAGTGAATTTTCGTTACATTTTTATTTTAGCATTTTTCTTGCAATGAAGGAAAGAAAAGATTATGCAGCTGGAAATGTCTTTATATATGTCTTTTCCAAATGTACATATAACCTATGAGAAAATCAGTACTGAAAGTTTTTTTTCAGATGCCATTCTTATTCTATTTTATTATATAACATTATACAGTATATTATATAAAATTATATACGTATAATTTTGGGTTAAAATATGGTATTTAAAATATATTTTTTATCTGAAAAACAATATTCATACTAATCTAATATCTATAAATTATCAATAAATGAACCATATATATTTAGCTCTTTGAAAGTTTCCCTCATCCACTGAGAGTGCTGTTTTTATTCACAAATATCTCCTGGTTTCCAATTACACTATTTTTCTAAAATTTGGAAAGATAACGATTAGATTTTCCCCTGAATAATGTCACAATGTCTATTCTACAAGGTAAGTTATTGGAGACTTTTTCTTTATAATATTTGAAATATTCTATAACTACTTCCATTATGTTCATTTTCCTTTTTTGCTAGTCTATCACTATCTTCTTCCATTCACAAAGATACCTCTTGAGATACAGCAATTTTATACGCATGCCTGAATCCTAATAAGCTGAGAAAGAGAACAAAAGAAATAATTTTATTTCCCACCCCCCACAAAAATGTAGCTTTTAAAACAAAACAAAACAAACACCCCCGCAGCTATTCTCACTTCACTGAACAAGACTCAACAAATAAAGCCAGCTACAGTCAGGCTTCTAGCTATTTGAATAGGCAAACAGTTAAGTTTGAAAAAGCCCATATGGTCATGTGATCTAGGTTAATCTTTCAGTGCTGTCCTTGACAAACTGCAGGAGAAAGCCTGAGTGAACAGAGGATGAGACAATAAACAGAAAATTACTTTCCATTGCTATACATTTTAGAAATGGAAGAATGTAAGAAAAATTGTATCCTTCAATATTAATATTAGATTTGTAATAAGCATTACATGTACAGACATACACACAAATTTATTAATGTGTTACTATAATATAATTATGAGAGACACCATTAAAATGATTTCCAAAGCCTAAAAAAGTCTAAATGGAAAAAATTCACTCACACTGCAGTATTTAATAATGTAAGTTAATGTTGCAATTTTATTTTAAAGTTATAGCTATTTTAAGATGATTAACATAACATTTCAAATAACTACTCATTTTTATAGTTTCAGGTTTCATTTAATAGTGAATTCTTTAATCCAGTGACTCATATCTGCTTCTGTAAATATTCAGCAATTTGATTTTTGAGTCAGAAAAGTATTTTAAATATGCCAAAAGTAAACTTTAATTTTTATTTCAACCCTTTCCTTCTTTAATTATGATTTGCTGAACAATTCTATCTGAGTAGGTCACAAAACATTTAATATTAAAGAGCCAAAGTGTTTGTAGTCTTCTCCATGAAAACTTATAATGTTGGTTTTCCAGTTTTCTCTCCTATTTTTTTGGGGGGGGGACTAGTGATAACTAGTCCACTTTCAATCTAAAATTGAAATTGACAAACTTTCTTGCCTCATTAAACAGTGTATACACTATGTTTACAGAAAATCTTGAACGTTTTAGAGCTTGCATCTATTTGCAAGAATGGTGAAAAAAGTTACATCAAAAGAGTAGGTATAGAGTTCTAAGAGATCTAAAGGCATTCACAAGAAAGAGATTCAAATTCTTTATGCTTTCCTAGGATTTTTAGTAAACCAGGATGCTTTTTACGCAACTCAGGATGGCTAAATTCATTGCCTTGAGAGCATATAGTTTCTTTATATATACAAAATTCTTAGTCCAAAACCCTTCAAATAATTTGTCCAATCATCCAGATCATGCTGTGTGAAAAACAAGCATTAATCAGTAACCACCTCTAATTAATCTTGGCATTCATTTAGGCTTTTCAAACCGCATCATTTTTATTGCCTTTCACTGAATGGATTTCAGTTAAAACTATCTAATAACACTATATATTGCATGTGTTTAAACCTGCCAGCATATTTGATATTTATCATCAATTAGGTTTTGGTTGGCTTTTTTATTGCTAAGCATCTATATACATACTTTTAATATTATAAAAATACACAAAATCTCTTTTTCTCACACACCAAATGTTCAATGTGAAAACAGAATAAGTGTGAAGAAAAAGTTTTGTTTACTCATGATTTTTGCCGAGAGAGAGAGAAAATTTTCTGTTCCCTAAAATACAAAAGCCCTTAACACAAACTGAACTTTTCATCGATGCCTCACAAAACAATTTTCAGGAAAAAAAGACCAAGGTGAGGAATTTCTTCAGTTCTGCAATGTTTCTTCAGTTCTGAATAAAGGAGGCTGAACTTGTCCTCTGACTTGGTAAACTAGACAATTTAAATTCTGTTTCTAGACTGACCA